TGCTGATTTTCTCCACCAGAACACAACAGATTGCTGGTGCATTTTGAATGTCACCAGCAGACAGATGATAATGACTTAAGATGGATAATGAAATGTTTGAAACACAGATGGGCCTGCAAGTCAGTTTTCTTTTTCTTAAGATTTCCTTCTGACATGCAGAATTAGTGTAATTAGCACTGTTTCATACCAGCATCCCTCAGAAGGGGCATCATCTCTGCGGCCCTATTGTTCAACTGCTCCATGTGTCCTTTTGGGGAAAGACAGTCACTGCTTGCTAGACGCTGCAGTCAAGCTAAAAGAGGTCTGGAACTACAAATGAAGGGAGTGCATGAAATTCACGATAAGGGTTTTTATTTTAGGAGCTATTGATAGTTACATTTACTTATGTTTCCCATAGAGACAAAACTAAATCAAATAGAAGAGAGTTGTTTTCTTAAATGATGGAGAGTCAGAGGTGGTGAGGGGACAGGTGACAGCTAGGCATTTTCATGTACAGGTAACAAGTCCCTTTCTGCTTTATCTCTAGCATCAGGCACTGGCCAAGATGGTGTTGGTGGTCCCTCGGTGTACACCCCAGAGCACTACTCCACACTAGGAAGGCTCAATAGCTATCGATCTGCTGGGCAGCGCTCAGAAACCAGGGACTCCAGCTGTCAGACGGAGGATGTGAAAGTCATACCACCATCCATGAGAAGAATCAGGGCGCAGAGGGGGCAGGGCATCGCTTCCCAGATGAGCCACTTCTCAGGCTCGTCTGGCAACATGTCTGTGCTGAGCGATTCTGCAGGGGTTGTGTTCCCTTCTCGCCTCAACGACGATGCGGGTTTCCACAGTCTTCCACGTTCTGCAGTGAGGGTGCACGTTCAGTCCCCAGAGCCAAGACTGAGTGCCCTGGGCTCTGCAGAAGATGTGGATGGCGCTTTCCCCTACTGGAGGGGTACGCTACAAGCAAACGAAAGCGTGGGATGTTTGGGAGGGCCCTCAAGGAACACAGCACTTCTGAGGCCCAAATCCCAGGAGCTGAGGCACTTTGAGAGTGAAAACATAACCAGCCCGGCGTGTGTGGTTTCTCCTCATGCAACCTACTCCACCAGCATCATCCCCAATGCCACACTGTCCTCCTCGTCAGAGGTCATTGCAATTCACACTGCTCAGAGCGCTGGGCACCCAGACAGTAAAATGACCAGCTCATCCTCATGCTCAAAGACAAAACCCAGAGACCACCTCATTTCCAGGCATGCTGTGAAGGATGGCCATCAGTCTCCCGGTCACTGGAATGAGGGTCACTCGACCATTCTTTCCCAGGCCTTAGACAGCCATTCTCCTGGTGCACCCACACCCTTGACCCTCTGCGATTCTGCAGTCTCTCTAAATGCACCCGCACAGAGGGAGAATGGGTCCCAAGCCATGCCCTGCAATTATAGAAACCACCTGAACTTCCCAGCCCACTCACAGGATGTGGACAGCAAGAAGGAGTTTAGTTATTCAGGGGACAGAGGGCATGGCAGCTCTGAGCCTTGGGAACACAAAGCCTCAGGTAATGGGCGGGCATCTCCCCTGAAGCCACAATTGGTAACCCCAGGGTACGCCAGCCCAAGCAGTCACATGAGCAGCTGCAGTTTGGACCAGACGTCCAACAGAGAGGATGCTGGGTCCCTGTACTCAGAGGAGCACAATGGCTACTACACGTGTGCACACAGCGACTCTGCAGCTGGCCCTGGGAATGTGTGCAATAGCGGCGAGGGCTTTGGAAACCCCAGGCACAGCGTGGTCAATGTTTTTGATGGAAGAGCTCCAAACACTCATGGGGACAGGTCCCTCTGCCACGATAAATCCCTGTCGAGAAGCATCTCTTTAAAGAAAGCCAAGAAGCCTCCCTTGCCACCCTCCCGAACAGACTCTCTCCGCAGGATGCCCAAGAAGAGCGGCCAGCCTAACGGGCAGGTGCTCAACGAGAGCCTGATCGCCACCCTCCAGCACTCGCTGCAGCTGACGCTCCCGAGCAAGGGCAGCAGCTCGCCCTCCCACAGCCCTAGCAGTGACTTCGAAGAGCCCTGGCTGCCGCGATCTCGGAGCCAGAGCACGGTCAGCGCCGGCAGCAGCATGACCTCGGCCACCACGCCCAACGTCTACTCCCTGTGCGGCGCCACGCCATCGCAGAGCGACACCAGCAGCGTCAAGTCTGAGTACACCGACCCTTGGGGCTACTATATCGACTACACCAGCCTCCAGGAAGACTCTGGGGACGCCTCAGGGGGCGGCTCCGCCTCGGCGGGGGGGGGCCGGGCCAGCCCGCCATGCCCTGGAGGGGCCCAGGGCCCCGATGCCCCCGCTCTCTGGTGGTTCCACCAAACCAAAGATCACTTCTCCGGAGAAGGCCCACAGAGTGACGTCTCCATCCAGTGGCTATTCCAGCCAGTCAAATACCCCGACAGCACTCACCCCTGTGCCTGTGTTTTTAAAGTCACTGTCACCAGCGAACGGGAAAGGCAAGCCCAAGCCCAAGGTGCCAGAGAGGAAATCCTCCCTGGTGTCCTCAGTGTCCATGTCCTCCTCGTCCACTTCCCTTTCCTCCAACACTTCTGCTGAAGGAAGCGGCACGGTGAAGAAGCTGGAGCCCTCTGTGGCCTTGCCCGTGGCCCCCTCATCTCCTTGCCCTGAAGACAAGTCTTTCCCACCTCCACCCCCTCCTGCGGCAGAGTGCCCGGAGGGTCCTCTGCCTCCCTCCCCCCTCTT